ATAAGATATACACATAGATGGGTTATGGGGAAGAAGAAAATATCGACTTATGAAAAAGCTGATAGCCTATATATACCAAGTTTTCCCATTTTGACATCCAGTTCTTCCACAGATATCAGTAAGGCAGGTGAAGATATCTAAGCTGACAAAACCACCATATTTTTCTTCTGAATTCTTATTGGAACAACATCATTTTTGCACTGCACACCCTTATTCACTATTTTCTATCTGAAACTCTTTTTTCATTGGGCTGCCATGACACTTCATTCTCTTGTTCTTCTTACAATTTTATTTTCTCTTTCTCTTCTGTGGGTGTCCTCCATGGACATCTCACACTCTTCTGGGCCTCATTTATGTTTTAGGAGTAACTTTCAAGTCTATATCTTCAGTCCATACTGAGCTTCACATTCCTATATGTGAATGCAGAAACTGCCTACTGAGAAGCCCTTCTCACTTGTCCCATGGGTACCTCATGCTTAGAATGTCACAAAAGAATATCTCAGGTCATTTTCCTTTCCCAAATCCTCTTTTTTAAAAAAATTTTTAGATGAAGAAGAAATAATTTTACCCATTCACCAAAGCTGCTGCTGCTGATAAGTCGCTTCAGTCATGTCGACTCTGTGCAACATCATAGATGGCAGCCCACCAGGCTCCCCCATCCCTGGGATTCTCCAGACAAGAATACTGGAGTGGGTTTCCATTTCCTCCTCCAATGCATGAAAGTGAAAAGTGAAAGTGAAGTCGCTCAGTCATATCCGACTTTTAGTGACCCCACGGACTGCAGTCCACCAGGCTCCTCCGTCCATGGGATTTTCCAGGCAAGAGTCCTGGAGTTCACCAAAGCTAAAATCATGCAAATAATTCTTGATATTGCTGTTTTCCTAACCTCTCATATCCAGTCAATTACCAAGTCTGCTGAATATTTATTAAATCCATCTGACCCAACTCATGTCTTCATTGGTCTATTGCCACATCCTCCAGATTGATTTCTCCCTCCATCCTGTCCCTCTCACATCTGTGCTTCTCCATGGCTGCCAGTCAATATAAAAACATAAATACATAAATATGACCAAATCACTTAGTTGCTTAAAACTCTTGAAAAAGACTATCTTTTAGGTTACCTTTTAGTTTGAATTTTTCCCCCTGATCTGGCTGTTGTCCACCCCTCCCACCTTATCTCCTGTTGCCTCTTGCTTTGCTTTTCAACTCCAGCCATCCAGGCACTTTTAGGCAGTTGCTTTGTAACTGCTCACACATATCGTCTTCTTCCCAGTTGTTAGGTTCTAGACACATCTATCACTGTACTTATCACATTATCCTATCAAATTAATTGTGACTGTTTGTTCCCATTACTAGTCTATGAGCATCTTGGTCATCTTTGCATCCACAAAATAAAGCTCATTTTTTTCTGATTAAGGATACAACTTGGGCCACCACATTGGTAGTGTTCAAAAAAATGTTTGTTTAATAATAAGTTTATATTCTTTTCATTAATGGCTGCTAAGTATACCAGAAACTTCCCTGATGGGCTAGGGCTAGTCAAGAAAACTAGGTCTCCTAATCTTAGGTGGGCTCTGGGATTTTTATTAGACTGTGATTAATACCTGGAAAGAGCCCTAAAAACACTCTATTGGAATAACCTCAACTTCAGCCAATTTTTCTTCACGCAGAGATGATTGCTGTGAGTCTTGGTCTGGAAAGGACATGGCTTGATTTAAAATAGTTTACCCTTGAGGCAGAACAGCAAAGAAAGGATTCTGTTAATTTAATTATAGTTTCAGGGTCTTTCTCCCTGATCATCTAAAGGGAAGTTTGGCCCAGAGAAGCACACTTGAAGGTCCATTTATGGTTAGAAACTACTCTTCCTACTTACCTCTCTGACTACTGGAGGCATAGACAGATTTGCTTTTTTCAGACATTTTGGTTCTTTACTCATAACTGTTAGCTGAATTATACAGCAAGAAAATAAAAACATTGTTCCAGAAATTTTGCTTCACTTTCTCTGGAGCAAGTTTTATATACTCTTCTTGAGAATAATTTGTATTTATATATTCACTCTATTAAGTATCATTTTCAAGCACTTTTTGTATTAGTAAAATCACTACTAGTCTTATCTGAATTGGCTAGCTAATTTTTCTGGTCAAGGTATACAACTTGGGCCAGCATAGAATACCTGCTTTTGGAATTATAGAAAAGGTTTGGACACAACTAAATGGAAAAAAGAGGGCTCACATCCTTTCCTCTCTTTCAGGACATGGACTACCCAAACAGATGTTCTGTGTGGTCACTCCTCACTAATTATTCAAAAACAAAAGAGAAAAGAGAAAAAAATTTCTGATAATATATTACTCATTTAAAAAGCAAGAAATCTAAATGTTAAACAGAGAGCTACAGCAGAAACACAATTTAAGCAAATTGGGAATATACTGGAAAGGGCTCTGCAAGACATTCTGTAAATGTTAAATAACTAAAAAACATTAAAATAAGTCTTGCATTGCAAATCTGAGGTCTGTGCAGAGTAAGCTTCTCAGCAGAAGAAATGGGAAGTGAAGATTAAGGCCCCTGTGAAATAATCTAGATTAGAACATGTGGAGGTTAGAGATCTTCAACTTGCAGCTCCAGAAGAAACATTCATATTATTTACTCCTGTCTTTGGCCCCCAAAAGACAAAGGCTTAAGGTTCCCTCCCCATCTAGCACCTAGATGCTAGATTCTAGTCAGAGGACCTTTGTAAATTTTGTATCTGAAGTACTTAGACTCATTACATATACCACAAAATCTTAACTGAAAATATTTTGGTCAAGACATTTTAATTTTTTGTGGAAATCGAGAGGGTCTAAAAGACAAAAATACAAAACTATAATAAGTGGATTAAAAGACGATTTAAAGTAGTTTATTTTGATATAGTTGCAGACATCTAACAAGTTGTCTCAAATTAATTTAATCAACTTAATGTTTCTCCTTTACCTGCTTCCAAAGAATCAGTTTGGCTTTTATATCTAGACTGCTGAAGTATGTGTCACATATCATTTAGTGCACTGTTGTGATATATAGTTTATGACAACATACCTTTTCCCCTAATCCTTGAGATTTGTTCATTGAGAAGGCAAAATTAAGAGGTTGAAGTTTTATGTAATAACATTATACTAACAAAAATGGGGCAAGAGATTAACATTTTTAATAAGAGGCAAAAGAACATAAAAGGTAGTTTATTTGAAAAGTTGTAGAGAGACTTCCCCAGGAATACAGCGGCTCAGGCTCCATGCCCTCAATCCAGGGGCCAGGGTTCCATCCCTGGTCAGGGAACTAGATCCCACAGGTGGAAAGTTATCTCAGGTGATTAGATTAAATAAATTCCTTAATGTAACATAAATAGGAGAATGTGTACAAGCTAATTCTGTGATGTAATTCGCAATATCCTCTTTTTCTAGGGTCTTTTTTTCCCATTTTCTCTGGCACTTGTCTTTTCACCACATGCATGTCTTTTATTTTTACTGCACCCTGGTCTTTAGCATTTGTTTTGATTGATATTACATTCATTATGCAAACAATATCTCACTTTAAGCTTGCTTGCACTATGATGCATAGACTGGTTGCTTGTCATAGAAACACAGCCAGGATACACTGTTTGGGTGTTTCAGCCAAATTTCTTCATTTCCTATATTCTCAGTTGGTACTGCTCAGGAACACTCATGGTGACTCTCAGCCTCCTTTGTTACTAACTTTCTGATAAGACATGGTCAGTTAACAATGAGTAGATCTTCCCCTTCCAAAGTACTGTTCATTTTGTGACACTGATACCAATCTTTGTACTAGTTTTAAAAGCTCATATTGTGGAATCACCTTAACTTGGTATTACAACCATACATCATGATCTCAGACAAATTACTTAACCTCTTTAAGCCTTATTCATTAATTTATTCAACATTTATTCAACTATGTGTCATAAGCTCTGGGGATAGGAAGTGAATGTGATAGCCATGAGTTTCTCATCTATAAAATGTTGCTAATGATACAGCTGTTTTGAGGATAAAATATAAGTAAAATACTTAGCACGGGGCTCAATAAATGTTCATTGTTATTATTAGCATATTATTTTGATCAAATTACTTTCAACATCTCTCCGTGACTGTAACCTCTAATGATTCACAATGCATCCATTCCATTTCTGAATATAAAGCTACTCCATAAATTACTGATGCCTGGAAATGATCTTTTATAGAAATATTGGTGCAGCCTTCTGAGAACACGGGAATGGAGGCACTTTCACGCCTGGTTAAGCCAAGAAAAAAACTGTAAATCACACCACGATCTGGATTATGAAAGGAAGGTGCTATATCTGTCTCACCTGAGTGTAGACTTCTAGATAATCTACATTTCTTTCCAAAATCGCCCATATAATCGCCCATATACTTTTAAGTTTGTATTATTAAAAAAAAATAAACCACAGCCTATAGCCAGGTCATCTTAAGTTTTACTTCTTGTGTATCACTAGCCTGAAAAGATCAAAAATATTTTTACTGTGGTTTCAGCTCTTTGTGTGTTTGAGGGGCGGGGTGGGGGTGGGGAGATGTCAACTCCTGTTGGTTGAGAAAAGCGGCAGTTCTGCATCTCATGCAGTTGAACTAGACAAAATGGGTTACTGCAGAGACTGGCAAAACCTACTGCCGTTATTGAAATAGTTATACAAGTAAAATTGAAATGGTTATACAAGTAAAATGAGTTTCTCCTTTACTCAGTGGAGCTATTTAAGAATGACAAAGATAAAACATCTACAATGGTGGCAGACTGCTTGCGTCCAAACATTCTAGGATGAATTATTTGTTTAAATCGAGCCTCATTAGGCAAGCTTTGTACTAAGGATTGCACGGGAGTCTGTGTAACATTTCTTTAGAACGGGAGTTTTGAAGAATCGTTTTCCACACTTTGTCACTCATTTTCAAGCCCAGGGTTACCCTTCAGTTTTTACACAAGAATATCTTTAAACAAAAGGACATTCTCTAAAATGGGCACTGGGCGCTCTGAGCTTCGGTGGAGTTGGCCGAAAACCCCATACCGAGCCCTTCAAAAGGCACGTGGGGCCGAACCTCCCTCAGAATCGCCGCGGCCGGCGCTCGCGGGCTCCAAGCTGGGCGCCTGATTTCCCCGGCCGGTGCAGCACCGGGGCCGGTCCCACAGCACCGGCCCTCCTGCCTCGTCATCGCTGCGTCTCTGGCCAGCCGGGCCCGGTCCCCGTCCGCGGCATTCCACGCCTCCGTCTCCGCGGGCGTGCGCGGGGCTCGGGAATCACCTCGGGAGCCCACTCAGCAGCGGGAGGGCGGGAGCGAGGAAAGCCCGGGCTCCCGCTTTAACCCCCGCGCTCAGCGGCGTCCCCCTCCCCTCGGCGGCGGGGCCACAGGTACCTCCTCAGCCGCCTCAGCAGTTGGCGCTCAACTGGTGGGCAGGGCGTCCCGCCACCGCCGCCGCGTCCGCTCAGAGGCCCTTCAGAGCCGCGCTCCCGGCGCCCCGGCACCTGACTGACTGACTGACCGACCGACCCAAGGCCGCCGCCGCCGCCACTGCCGCCGCGCACGCGCTCCTCGTCCGCCTCCGTCCCGGGGCGGCCCGCAGGGCGGGAACGCGACGCTGCAAGCCGCCCGCACCTGCCTGACTGACAGGCAGACCCCGGGATCGGGCCTTGTGCGGGCGCGCACGCGCACGCGCCTCGCGCTCCTGCCGTCGGCCCCGGGGGCGGGACCGCGCGGCAGCGAGCGGGCGGGGGGCTCGTGGCGCGCGCGCCCCGCACCCGAGGGCTGCGGAGAGATATTTTGGGTGGCAGGAGGCCCCTCGTCATTTCCGCCGGGTAGCTGGTCGTGCCCGGGGCTTCACTCCCGCGCACGAGGCGAACGGGCAAGTTGGCTTCGGGAGTGCGGCGGCAGCTCCTTGCCTTAGCGGTGCGACCCTCGGCAGTGCAAGCCATGAACTGAAGCCCCGGAGGGACCGAGACCCGAGCGGAGTGGCCGAGCCACGGCTGCAGCCGCCACCTCAGCGGGGAGCGAGCAGAGCCGGCGCGGAGCCGCGACCCCGGCGCCTTTCCCTGCCCGTCGCCTCTCCCACCGCTGCTGCCCGCCGTTTGCTGCGAGACATTGCAGCCGCGAGACTCGATACACAAAAGCCGCTTTCTCCGCGCCGCCCGTCCAGCGAGGCAGCGACCAGCGAGGGACCCCACCTGAGTGCGGCTCAGGCTGCTGAGTTCGTTTTGTGTCTGAGCTCCGCGCCCCGCGCGGAACCGACCCCGTGCCCATGGCTCTGATCATGGAACCGGTGAGCAAATGGTCTCCGAGTCAAGTCGTGGACTGGATGAAAGGTAATGCCCGCTGTGCGGACGGCGAGGCGGCCCTGGGGCGTGGGGTCCCGGCGCGCGGGAGGGAAGGGTCGCCCGCCGTGGCCGAGCCCGCCATTGGGGCTGATCTTGGGGCGCCGAGGGCGGCGGGGGACCGCCGGGACTGTTTGGGGCTCGGGATCCCGGTCTCCTATTGTCTCCAGCCAGTGGCTTCCGAGCTGGAGAGGGGCGCGGAGAGCGTGGGGGTGGCCGGCGCAACCCGATGAGAAGCTGGAAGCCGGGCGGCGGAATCCCTGTCTTTCTGCCTCCTGGCTACCCTCGGTACCCTCAGGCCGGGAGGATGTAGCGACCCTGGTTTTCCCTCTCCGGGAGGAGGCCCCAGGGACTGTCGCCCTTTCCTCCGGCCCCTTTGTTCCTGGGAATCCTGACACCCCCTTGGCGGCAGCCCCTGCCAACTGATTTTTCTTGCGCCAACTCTCCCGGCAACTTTTAAGCCCACATAATGGGGTCAGGACTCGGCCGCAGGGCTTTGGATCCGGGGAGCTCACCCTCTTCCCCAGGTTGGGCTGAGGATGCTCGAGGGATGCGCTACTTTGGAGGAGAGGAAAACATGCTTCCCCCGGGACAGCATCTGCGCTGGTGTCTGTGGCTCCCTCCTGTGCATCCCCCGTCCACCCTCACCCCGCATCCTCTGCCTTCTCTTCTGGCCGCTGGAGGCTTTGCATCTTAAGGCTTTTTACTGGGGGCTCGACCCAGGTGTAAGATGATGCACGTTCAAGTGCCCCCTCATTTCTTCCATCTTGAAGACGCTCCCCTTTTTGCCCCCTGGCAATTTCTAATAACCATACTTAATTTATTCGCCCTCCTAATCTCAAACGTGGGCTTTTTCTCTAGTCTCTGGTCTTTCCTGCCTCACTATCTCCCTCTGTTGTCTGAGTTAAGGGGCCTGTAGAGGACCCACTCCTCACGACCACTGCACCCCCTTCCAGCCTCAAGATTCCTAAGATTTGGGGAATGCTGACGGGGGATGGATGGGATGGAAAAAAAGGATTCCTCGCTACACTTGGGAGATGTTAGAGCTTTGCCCGTGGTTATTCTTAGGCACAAGCTCTGGGTAGATTAGTCAGGGACCAAGGTTTATCATTTGAAAATGCCCGTTCCGAAGATGGGGGAGCCCCTTCTTAGGGCTTGCTTAGCACTCAGATTTTCCAAGCTTCAGGTACTTTAGAACGAAAGGTAGGATGATTGGAAGGGATAGAGAACGACAGGGGGAAACTCAATTTTTCTTTTCTTTTTTCCCGGAGCGTTTTCAGCCTCTTGTTCTTGTGGATTTTCCTTTATCCATTTGCTTTCCTTTTATGCCCTTACTTGCTCCTTTATTCTTCATTTACTTCGTTTTTCTTTTCTGATATGTGGAAAGTGCTTTGTAACTGCAAAGCACAGTACATATGAGTGATTGACTGAAATCGAATGTATTATTTATCGACTGCCCCCCTGTGTTCGGTGAATTGTGCTAAGGTGCCATGGGTGCCATGACTAAGACAAAGTCCTGCAGTGGCTCTTTTTTTTTTTTTTTTCCCCTGCAGCTTCTTCTCTTTTCATATTTGCTATTGAAATTCCACTCTCCTAGATTCCCATCAATTTTAACCCCCTTTGGAGTGTCAGAAGCAGACAAACATCTGTCTTCTCTGTTTCTCAGTCATGGAAGAAAAAGCCAGAGTACATGCAAGAAGCAAGAATGCTTAATTAAAATCCATCCTTTGAATTTCCCTATAAGATTACTTTAGTTTCAGTCTTGTTACTGAAGTACTCAAAGAAAAGCTGTCTTGGCTCCATGGGAGTCGAATTACCTTCAGAGACTACCTCTCACAAATTCCCATGATGCTTGTAGTGAGTGCTGCATACTCCATCTTCTTCACCTCCCACCTTCCCAGTACCTTTCTGCAGTTTCCCCTCTCTCTACACTTTAGGTCCACTGAAGCATACAGAACATATGATGTACATATTCTGACACACATCATTAGTTTCTCAGTACACTAGTCCTTTAAAAATCTCTCCAGCCTAAAATGCAGCTTCTTTGAGGTTGAACTAACATCAATTGCTGTGATTTTAAGTGATTGTTATATTTAAGTTGAATAATTTATTTTCCTACCTGTTGGTGACACATTTTAGCACTATTTGAAAAAACAGAATTCATGTATCTTTGTATCCATTAAAGCAGAAGAGAATCACTGATGTATCTGTATATTTCAAGTCCCAAACTGCTTACTGCTGAAATTCCCATAATCTTCATATAAATTTGATTGCAAATACTATTGGAAAATAAGGTTTAAAAAAGTAGTTGGATGAAAGAAACATTTCCTCAAATTAATTAAGGTAACTTACACTGTTACCTTAATTAATCCCTCCCACTCTTTTTCCCAAATAAACTTTATAAAATACACTTTAAAAATACTTTTCACCCTTTCTTCAGATGCACTAATGTTTAAAACTCAATTAATTCAGGCTGTAGCTTTGGAATGGCTAAGCCTCATTTAGTGTTGTATGTAGTGTTATATAGGCAGTACCAAAGCATGAATAGGACTTTCGAACAATGTAACATTGTGGGAGTTCTTTAAAAACATGCTCCTAATGTGACATTTTCATCATCCTTAACATTTAAAGCATATATATATCATATGGTTTCACCTGGTCACAATTGTAGATAGTTATAACTCTCATTAGTAAGGTATATGCTTTATGTTCTTTCTAGGCTATTTTTTTTCTTCACTAAACAGGAAATGAACCACTAAGCATATAAAAATAACATGGCCATGTATTTAATGCTTCCAGACAATTTATAGAAGTGCTATAGAAACTCAGTCAGCAGAGCGGGAAATGAAGGGAAAAACTCCTGGCTGACAAGATTATTAAGCTTTGGTAGAATATATTCAAGTTTAATTATGAAGGACCATATATACTTTGCAATTCACTTTATTTCTTTTTATTAAAATGTATTTCAGGACACCTAAGTATTAATGTATGTTAATTGAGCGCTATGAGGAAATTCTTGCATGTTTTTTGCTCACTCCCAGCTCCACTGTTTGTAAAATCCAACACTCATTGCATTTTCTGCTGACAATAAAAATTTGGTATGAGTGTCAGTGTTAGTGCCAGTAAATATATGAACTCCTCATGAGTCAGTAAAATAAGCATTTATGTCCCATGTTATCCTGATAGTACTTCACACAATCTGGAAATGTCTCATAGCCTTCAAAATTAATTTTAAAAATGAATTTTATAAAAATATCTTTTGAGAAAATCAAATACTCAGTGTTTGAAATTAACCTTTTTCAGTTGGAAATTGCATTCAGTCCTCTTGTAGTTTTGACAAAATTTTAAAACCTAATCCTTTTTACAGTAAATAAAAACAAAGCAGTTATTGGAAAAAGGTACAAAAGTAGGTCAGCACAGTAACTGTTTCTAATTTTTGCTCAGTCTATTACTCTAAAGTACATTATTTCTCAGCTCCTGTCTGTTCACTTGCAGTGCCTGGAAATGTTTCATAATCTGCAGTTGCTTGAGTCTACTTTTTTTGCCCTCTGAGATATAATAAAAACCCCTGAACAAGTTAGGACCCCTATTACTACTTTTATTACTCATTTTCCTTATCCATGTCACACCCAATGATTCCAGTTTTTTTAATCACACCTTTTCTGACTTTTGAAATTCTTTCATAATATCAGTATGACTAAGATAAAGTTATTTTCCTGGACCAGCTCCCTTTATGACATTTTTCCAGTGATCTTTAATCCTTTTCTGGATCAAATAAAATGGATTATTGTTTTCAGAGTCAACCAACAGGCCCCACTTTGCTGATCTTCTCTTATGGTCTCTGTGACTTAGTTTCATCCACTCTTGTGTTATTGTGATTCCTAAAATAGTCTATATTTTTAAGATAGCCTCTTAAACCATCCCACAATTAACTGCTCTGGTCTTTCCTGTTTACTATAAACCGTTTTCTTTAAGAAGCATTCACTGACTTCTAATTTCTGTCCTGATGACTCAGCCTTCTTGAGGATAGAAAATGAAATACATTATTTTAGGTTTTAAAAAACAGATAAAGCCAACGTTTTGCATACAGCTCTACAAAAGAGGAAAATGCAGTGATGAAATAAGCTCTATTTAGTATAAAAGTGTAAATGCTCTAAGGGAAAATGTGTCTGGTAACAGAAAGCAGTTTCGACAGGTACAATGCTCTTTAGTAATTTCTTTTCCCTCTCATAGGACCAGACCTGAAGTTGAAATTTATCTTAATCAGGAAAATGTCAAAATTTTGATTTAACTGTCTTGAGAGAGAGATCAGAGATAATTTTCTGGCAGGAATTTGAAAAGTATACACCATAAGGGGAAAAAAATATGTTAAATGACCAAATTGGTGCTATCACCTCTATTTGAAAAATTAATTTCTTTCCCCAATTGCAATGTGACTAAATAGTAACCAACAGTTACCTGCTTTGGATTTGGCATTTTTTCTTGTCGTTTTATACAAAGAGGAACTTTACCTTTTTGATATGTAGAGTTGAGTTCACAAGAAACATTTTATTTATAGTGTCATTAACATTTGCTCCTTAAGGTAACTCTCGTAATATAGTGCACAGTAGGAAAAATAGTATATTTATGTAGATATATTCTAGTCCTTACATATTATTTACTTAGTTTTCAGCATGGAAGTTTCTTTAATGGATGGATTTAAATAATTCCCTGCTTTGAAGAAATTAGTCTCTGTAAGGGATGGCAGTGACATTGACAAACCTTTGCCAAGACAGAGATAGGTCCCAATTAGTACATTTGGTAAATTTTAAGAGTTTGAATATGTATCACAAGTACGAGTGGAAAGAGAAGATGATGATTTTAGTAAGTCAGGAAAGAATCCATGAGGTAGCTGGCGTTTTAGCAACTGTTGAAGCAGTTTATTTAATTAAGGTATATTCTAAGAGGGATGTATTCTAAATGTAGAAGCACAGCAAGAGACTGTAGAGTTG